ATATAATTTGTAAAACAACCGATCATAAATATTTCTGTTATATAAGTCACAATATATGACAAACTCATTAAACATAAAATATTTTTACAGCCGTTACCTTGTTTTAAAGAACGGTTATATTATGAAGGTATTATAATTTATTTGTACTACGATATTAGCAATTAGCGTACGGCTTACCTGATGGTAAACAGTTACTGTAACGTATGGACGCCTGAAACAAGAGTTGTAACGTACGCGTTGCCTAAGAAACCTTAATATACCCTTCTTGACAGACCCCATGCTGTGTAGTCTCGTGAGAAAACCTCGGCAGGTAGTTCATTCTACATTCTAAATGTACATGTGTGGTAGTATAGAAACTCTTTATAATACTATGATTTGTTTTTTTATTGTCTTGTCATATTGTAACATTTCAACATGTATATCTTACTAGCATTTTACTTGAATTAAACCAATATTTCCTTATGGTCTATATCGTTTTGTATCAATTAATTCAACTAATAAAATACAATTAACAATGTCAAGAAAAAGTCGCAGTAAAAAGATTGAAGCAGATATAATGTCGATGCCAGGGCCGGCTTCTACAAGTTTAGCACGATATCTACGTCCGGAAAGATTTGAGTTAGACCCGAGTTCTACTGATGCCGATATTGAATGGACGCATTGGCTATATACATTTAACAATTTCCTATCAGAAAATAATGGTGAGTTTACTGATGAACATAAACTAAAAATTTTAATTAATCACTTATCTCCCAGTGTGTATGTAAACATAAAAGAATGTATTGATTATGAATCGGCTATTTTAATTTTGAATGGAATCTATATTAAACAGAAAAATGAAATACATGCACGTCATATTCTTGGCACTCGAAAGCAACGTAGTGATGAATCTATAGATCAATACTTACGTCAACTTAAATTACTTGCTCAAAAATGCTCTTTCAAGGATGTCAAAGCAGAACAATATCGATCAGAATATATCAGGGACGCATTTATTGCTGGTATTTCTTCACACAAAATACGCCAACGTTTGCTAGAAAATCTGGAACTGTCACTTGATCAAGCATTTAACCAAGCACTTTCACTAGAAATGGCAGAAACAAATTCTCGATCTTTCAATGATAACATACCGCTTAACGCAGTTGATTCCATATCTACCTTATCTGATTCACAAAATAAAAAAACCAAAACTTTGTCTTCTTACGATAATGAAGCGTCTACATCCATATCAGGAGATAATATAGCAGAAACCGTTATAGCTGCCACAACAAATAAAAGAAGATGTTTCTTTTGTGGTAGTAATGTAATTCATCAGCGGATAAGATGTCCAGCTTTAAATAGCACTTGTCAAATTTGTTTTAAAAAGGGACATTTTGCTAATGTTTGTCGAAGCAAACAAACTATGAATGCTGTCATAGTAAATGAGACTAATAATAGTAACTCTGCAGAAGTTGCAGCTATATCTGCAGCTTCTTTACCTAGTTTACATAAAGCAACTGTACCTATCACCATTAATAAGTATTATGCTGAAGCCCTTATCGATACTGGAAGCTCATTAAACTTTGTAAATGAAGAATTAGCGCACTTATTGAAACTTAAACAGAAACCTTGTCAACAAATTATAACTTTAGCTTCACTTAATCATACATCACCAGTCAACTGTTACTGCAATGCAACTTTACAATTGAATAATCATTCGTACGACAATGTCAAATTATTAGTTGTACGTAATTTATGCGCTGATATTATACTAGGTCATGACTTACTTAAAGCTCATCACTCCTTAGAACTGAAGTTTGGTGGTCCCCGAGATCCTTTGAAGATATGTAATGTCATGGCTGCTAACTTACCTCATGCTACATTATTTTCAAATTTATCTCCTAATGTCAAACCCGTAGCAATAAAATCAAGACGTTACAGCGAGGGTGATCAACAATTTATTAAAGAAGAAGTTGAAAAACTATTAAAAGATGGAATCATTGAGCCAAGTATATCACCTTGGCGGGCACAAGTTCTAGTAACTGGCGGTGGTATCCATCGTAAACGTCTCGTTATTGATTATTCTCAAACTATAAATAAATTTACAGAACTTGATGCATATCCTTTACCTAATATTGAAGTACTTATATCAAAAATTGCGCGGAATAAATATTTTAGCCAAATTGATCTCAAAAGTGCCTACCATCAAGTACCAATTCAACAGAGAGAACGACCTTATACAGCATTTGAAGCATGCGGTAATCTATTTCAATTTACACGTATACCGTTTGGAGTAACAAATGGAGTATCAGCATTTCAAAGAACGATGCAATTTATCATATCTAACGAAAATCTTACTGACACTTATGCATATTTAGATGACGTTACTGTTTGTGGTAAGGATAAGCTTACTCATGATGCTAATCTAGCAAAATTTATGGCAACTGTAGCAAAGTATAAAATTACTCTAAACAAAGAAATGTAATTTTGGTTCTGAGACTATTAATATATTAGGTTATACTATAGAGAACAATGTTGTAAGACCTGATAAAGAGCGTCTTAAACCTTTACTCTCCATGCCTGCACCTACAGATATAAATTCTCTAAAGAGAGTATTAGGTATGTTTGCACATTATTCTAAATGGATAAATAACTATTCAGAGAAAATAAGCAATTTAGCGACTAATAATTCATTTCCATTATCACGTGATGCAGAAATATCCTTTGAGAGTCTTAAGAAAGATATTGCAAACGCTGCTTTAATTGCTATTGACGACACACAAATGTTTACTGTAGAGACTGATGCTTCTGAACATGCCTTAGCAGCAACACTTTCACAAAATAGTCGCCCGGTAGCATTTTTCTCTCGCTCATTGACAGAGTCCGAAAGAAACCATTCTTCAATAGAGAAAGAAGCGTCGGCAATTGTTGAAAGCCTACGTAGATGGCGTCACTATTTAATTGGAAAACATTTTCTTTTAATAACGGATCAACAATCGGTTTCCTTCATGTTCAATCAAAAACATTCAAGTAAAATTAAGAACGAGAAAATAGAGAGATGGAGGCTTGAATTATCTTGTTTCAAGTTTGATATTATATATCGACCGGGTAAACAAAATATTGTATCTGATACATTGTCAAGAGTTTGTGCTAATATGTTTTCACGCAAAAATTTATATGAGCTTCATAATACATTAAGCCATCCAGGAATCACAAGAATGGCTCATTGGGTGCGGTCTAAGAATTTACCGTATTCGATTACTGAAATTAAGAATATGACTGCAAGTTGTCCTATTTGTTCAGAGATAAAGCCAAGATTTGCAAACAGTAAAGGACGACTTATTAAAGCGACGTCCCCATTTGAAAGACTTAGTTTAGACTTCAAAGGGCCGTTGCCTTCAAATTCCGAAAATAAATACATTTTAACTATTGTTGATGAATTTTCTCGATTTCCCTTTGCCTACCCCTGCAAAGATGTATCATCCGCTACTATAATAGCAAGTTTAAAGCATCTTTTCTTTACTTTTGGAACTCCTCTCTATGTACATTCAGACCGTGGAACTGGATTTATGTCACAAGAATTTAAAGATTTCCTAATAAGGAATGATATTGCATGCAGCAGGACTACGCCTTATAATCCAGAAGGAAATGGCCAGGTCGAAAGACTGAATGGGACTCTGTGGAGAACTATACAATTATCCTTACGATCCAAAAACCTAGATATTCGGTATTGGGAAGATGTCTTGCCTTTAGCGCTGCACTCAATTCGATCGTTATTATGCACAGCTACTAATGCTACACCACATGAGAAGATGTTCTGTTTCCCGAGACGATCTGGTAATGGAGTTTCTTTACCTTCTTGGTTAATGATTCCGGGCCCAGTACTATTCAAAAAAAAATGTAAGAAAAAGTAAATATGATCCTTTAGTGGAAGAAGTGGAACTGCTGGAATCAAACCCAAACTATTCTATAATACGCTTTGCTGATGGGAGAGAGGATACAGTATCAAACCGACATCTAGCGCCAATTAATAGGCAAATTGAAGAAGTAGTCACTGAAGATGAAACGTATAACTCCATTCATAACCCTTCTGATACAGATGCCGAGATCTACCAGACAGCATCTGAGAATGAAAATTTAAATGCTGATAATTCCGGTTCAGAATTAGTTCATTCGCCCCAACGGCCTGTTCGTGAAAGAAGGCCCCCTGCTTACTTAAATGATTATGAATCATAAGGATGGGTGAATGTGGTAGTATAGAAACTCTTTATAATACTATGATTTGTTTTTTTATTGTCTTGTCATATTGTAACATTTCAACATGTATATCTTACTAGCATTTTACTTGAATTAAACCAATATTTCCTTATGGTCTATATCGTTTTGTATCAACATGTAAATGTTTACTCATTATTTCCTGTCTGAAAGACAGGTTGTGAAAGAACCTAATCTATAGGACTGCGGTTACGTGAAAGAACATGTAAAGGCAGCTAATACTATAGATCAGGCGTGACCAACCTTATTAATAAACGGGCCCATTTAAATTTTATAATGTTTGGCTGGCTAAACCGAAATATTTTTTATGACTCACTTGTCGGCGTATTGTTCATACAGATACAAATACAATACGAATGTTTGCATTAAAATTTGTAAAGGAAATTATAATATTTTTTTATTGTAACGTTAAAAATAAAGTTTTGTATATTATTAATAGGTATCACTTTATAACATATGTAAATGTAAAGAATTTATATACAAATTTTAATGCAAGTGTTCATATTACATGTTTGAACAAGACGCCGCGGCGCCGAGTCGACAAGTGACAAAAACTCACACAAAAAAATTTTCTAATTTAGTATGTACTGCCATTTTATTATACTTAATTAATTTTATAACAATATATTGATGAAGAAAGTCGGAAAAAAAACATTTTCTGAAACACTTGACGGGCCGCAATCGGTCCGCGGACCGCGTGTTGCTCATCCCTGTCATAGATTATTAACAGAGACATTTTTTTTCAGATCTGAAAGTGGTTACGCCCCGTTTCTCTGGTGGGTCTTGGCTAGCATTACGTGCACTGCGCGGCGCGTACAAGCGCGTTCGACTGAGGATTAGGGTACGGCCGGAACGGGCGCGCGGCGTCCTACTCCTCACTGGGGAACACGACGACCTATCAGGGGATTACCTGGCATTAATCCTGAGAAATGGACACGTGGAGTTGAGGTGAGTTGAGATTTTAAACCATTCAAATCAATTTCAACTCCAAAACTGGCTTTAAAAATACATTCTTGTCAGTTCTTCTCAATTAGATCTGTATACTGATCTGGACGGCAGGGAAAACTTATCTTAAAAACTTGACGTTCATAAGCAGTTAAATTTCCTATATGAATAAATGATTCAGGAAAGATCGTCCAGTTCAGTATACAGTATCAATTGAGAAGAACTGGTAAGAAACTAAACTGAATTTCTTTTTTTAAGACTTCATAAAGTGTTTTGACGCTATCAGAAATAAACATTCATTAAAGATTTTTATAAGGTTGTTACATATGCAATGCGCAGCCCTATAGAAAAGTGCTTGATTATTATATTGTGATTATTATGTAGTTTAATACAAAGACAGACACAAAGACAGAAAGGAAATATTGTACGTACATAAATTTAAAAAATACATGTTCTGAAAACTAAGTGCCCTAGTTAGTTTAGCTTTAAAACTTATCTTCAAAAATAAAAAAAATATGATTCAACACATCGGTAGGTACAGCACTGTCACGGTACAGCTACTAACATTATTTAAAAATGATATATTTACACTTATGATGATATTTACACTTATGTATTTAGTCTTCGAGATTAAAAAACAGATCATAAATATGCAGATCTTTAGTACATACATAATAGCAACAGAAAATTCTTCTATCGTAATACCTACCTAATTTTAATTTCCTATTCCCCAATCCTTTGGAAACATATGAAAACATTTAAATGGACTCATATTGAACAATTTATTCCGTTAATAGCCCATAAAATTCGCTTTCTATTGCCGTTCAAAGCAGTCACTACATAAAACAAATCCAATTATGCGAGGACGTGGAAAGGGCTATAAAAAGTCAGTCTACATAATGTCCTACGTACGGGATTAAAAACTGTTAACACCGCCATCTATCGAACGTGGTGTGTAACTGAATAAAGCAAATAAAGTGTTTGAAGTTTGATTTAATTAAAACTAACTACGCGCCTCGGTTTCGCACGGGTGTACATGTTGTTGTGAAACCTCTATCATTTAATTTTCTATATTTAAAAGTAATATGTTTATAAATTGTTGATAGTTCGTTCCTAATATTATTGTAAAAAGTGACATTATATTTTCTTTCTTGATTTACTAAAGTAGTTTTATTTCTGTATATAATAGAATATATGTAATTATAATTAGTATATCGATTGGAAGGTGTCATTCATGTATTAATCCACTCATTCTATGTACCCGCTGTCCCGGAACCTAGTATATCTTTATCCACAACATCATCGATTTATCTGATCAATCACATATGTATTATACATACCTATAAACCTTGAATGACCTACTCGGTGGTCTAGCGGTTTAGCACGCCCCCTTATTTCCGATGGTCGCGGGTTCAATTCCTCGCACGGTACAAACACTTGTATTCATAAGTATAGTTGCTTGTATCGGTCTGGGTATTTTAGATATATAGTACATGATGTATTTCCAAATTTTTATATAGGTTGTTTAATACCAAGAACACAAGTTCTGGTAAACTAGACCAACGAAGTCGTCTATTATTTATTTATTCATTTATTATTATTATTATATAGATTCGACTGTGGCAGCGGAGCTGGTATCCTCCGATCACCAGAGCCGGTCCGACTCGGTCGGTGGAACACCATCTCTGTATACCGACATCGTTGGGACGCCTGGCTGCGCTTGAACAACGGGAAGAGGGTCAGAGGACGCTCTAAGGTAAGCACCTATAATATTTTGTTTATCTAGGTTGTCAGATAGAGATAGTTTTTAGCGATAGGGTCGCTTTTATGTTTATCACATTTTTTTAGGTTGTTGTTTAAATATAAATAAATATAATATTACATTGTGCCTGCACATGTAACATTTCTGTGTACACTAGGAACCCTTCGATTAATTTAAGCCTCCACTAATATAGATTTAAGCTAAATGTAAAGTCAGTCTACGTCCCGACTCCGCTATATAATAATCTTACTAATGTACAATAGTACAATTATTACACCGGTGTACTCACTACCCAGATACTAGAATAACACTCTAATAAATAATATATTATATAGCGATACCTCATCACATCATACATAACTCTACTATAGTGAGGTTACAACCACAGCGCTAGAACGTCTTATATATAAAATTCTCGTGTCACAGTTTTCGTTCCCATACTCCTCAGAAACGGCTTGACCAATTCTCATGAAATTTTGTGAGCATATTCAGTAGGTCTGAGAATCGGCCAACATCTATTTTTCATCCCCCTAAATGTTAGGAGTACCCCTAAATTTTTTTTTTTAAGGCAAAACAACGTTTCTCGGGACAGCTTGTATTACTATATTTTAATTTACCCCCTTAAGGATAACATTTTTACAGACTTTGTTAAAATGTTGACTTTTCACAAACTTTGTAGAAATGGTGACTGTAGTAGAAATGTTTGTAGAAATGGTGGTGCCGAAGGCAACCTTTTTGATAGCTTTTTTTATATATTTTTGTTGGTTGATTCTTATGCGATAGTGATTCTTTTCATTTTGCTAGCTATCTGAAAATACATATTTTACCTCATCTAGGAACGTGTCTCATTTTAAGCCACCCTTTAATACAATCCTTCCATCACAATGACCTTATACTTAAACTTATCGAACGATTAGGAGATTTCTACCACGATTGGTAAGAGTCGTAGTAGAAATGTACTAATCGCGGCTACACGTCTTGGACACACTAATCCTAGGATGACCTTAAAAAATATTTACCCGAGTAACTTAAAGTCACATTTACAACTGGCGACGATAATTCACCGGCTACACAATAACCCAATTGGACCAACGGAATGTTCTAAGTCGTTACCGATTTGGACAAGTTCTCCAAGTTTTATAGAAAAGCGAAGTTAAATTGAAGCGATATTTTAAGTGGAATTGAATTTAGCATCGAATTCAGTGTTGCCCACAAAGTTTTTATCAGTCCACTGAATATCTAAAAACAAAAATAATTTGATGAATTTTTTAACGTGGAACCTATAGAACAATCACTAAATTATTGTTAGGTAAAGATAAATTACTCATTTTTATTTAAAAAATTGTAATTTTATTTGTTTTTGCTTTACAAAATAATTATTTATTTATTATAGTTTAAGTTGTTCTTAAACTAAAATAATAACTAAATTATTATTTGTATATAGAATTACAAATAATAATAATGAACTTTTAACAGAAATGTTTAGTAATTAAGGTAAATTTAATTTGTACAATAAGTAATTTTGAAAAAATAAAAAGGTGTAATTATTTATATTCATAAATTACCCTTTTTTAATTTAATGTGATATGACTTTTATACATAAAGTGATATATTTTTAATTCGTAGTAATTTTCCCTTATATTCTAAGTCCATTAAAAATTCAAGAACCAGAAACAAATTTCTCCCACCAAATGGATATAAATTCATCAATTCATTGGTAAAATCACTAAAATTGCAACACTGGTCGTCAATATTCTCGTAATACGAAATGTATAAGAATTCGAATATTTGTTTTCATTAGTCATCGCCGCCAGCTGTATGTTTCTTTGATTACAGCTGCGTCATTTGAAGGCAATATCTATAACTTTTGTATACAAAGGGCAGAGGGAGGGTGGAGGGATTAACTACCTATGTTTGATTGAAGACATACGCAACGCACGCTTTATTGTATAGTAATTCTACGAAATCTCTTTGGTGTTTGGGTTGACGGTTATTTCTTGACGTGGAAAAAATCCCTCATGGAGGCTCTCCCGCCCCGGGGAGAGGGGGAGAGGGGGCTAGCATGTACTGTGAGACTCTTACTCACTAAAAACTCCAAGATGTCTCTCACTCGTCGTCATAAGCCGGAGGCCCGCGATTGAGTGTCAGTCCACCGCGAATCCGACGGCGGTGGCCCACTTTAGCTATGGGACCCGTTACTGCGGGTTTTTTTTATGTATGATAAAGAAATGGTGCACTCGCCTGCGCTAACGGTTTACGCGGGCACCAGTGCAGGATGAGGTGCACAGGAGGTTAGGTCAGTTAGTACATCGTGACAAATTCACCAAGAATTTATCACGATGGTTTTCAGGAAAAACCACGTGGTAAATTCAACCTGATATAGTAAATTGCTAGTAATGGGTTCATGAGTCCACATTACTAACATCCTAATCCTAACATCCCCCATCCCTGCAGGTTCCCTAGAGAAACTCACTGCTTCACCCTTACTAGATATAAACCTAAGTCTTTCATAACTCAAACTCAAACTCATACACACTCATAACTTATAGATAGACAGACAAAATTATAAAATCTTATTAATATTATAAACGCGAAAGTTTGTGAGTATGATGTTTGTTAATCTTTTTTTTCTTCTTCTTCTTCTTCATATAGGCTATAAATTTAACACGGATGAAACTGCGGGTACAGCTAGTATAATATAACAATACAAGCTAGATAATGAGAGAACGATAATTAAAATGCGAACAAAATCCGGAAATGGTTAGTCAAATAAGTCAATTGGGTTACAGCCTGTAGGGCTGTACCCTGTCCATTGCTCCGCCGAATTTTCCTTTAATTTAAATTAATTATGAGCGTAATATCTAATTCATTTCGGCCCTGTAAAAGTGAAATGAAAACTGAAAACCTCATGCCGGAATTACTTTACCAAGCGCCATTGTCGAGAATACTGTCCGAGAGATAGAATCTCTGGATTATACAAATCTAGTGGTCGTACAACAGTTGAAAATCGACCGTAATTACTTAAAATTATTTTTATATTTCACATTCAGTAAGACTTTATACCATACTAGCTGTGACCCACGGTTTCACCCGCGTTAAATTTCAATATAATATATAGCCTATGTATTATTCTGATGCATACGCTATATTACTATAAAGTTTCATCGAAGTCCGTTCAGTAGGTTTTGCGTAAAAGAGTAACAAACAAACTTTTGCGTTTATAACATTGTTAAGATTAATCTATTCTCAATTTGACATTGCTTGTGTCTATCAAATACGGTATACCTACCTATATACGGTAGTGTGTGTAATGTTTGTTTTATTGATTTAATGTATATTAAAATTAAAAATTACAATTAAAAAAATATATTAGCGTTCTGCACTCGGTCTATATATAAATTAAAAGTGTGCGAAATTTCATACTTCTGCATACGGGTAATTTTCGTAAAGAAAGCTTCACGTATTAATATATTAATATACTTTCTCTGTATTTGTATAATTATTATAACTAGCTCTTAACACGAGAATACTAAATATTTCATCTTCAAATAAACAAAAATCCATATTAATATATTGTTAATGACAAGGTTCCCCTAACATTTTTGGTGTTTAAAGTAAATATACACCTTTTATTAATAGTTATATACTAATTGATCGTCTTTACTAGAAAAGTTTCCAACAAAAATATAATTTTTCCATGATTTAAATATAGGTATAAAACATAATCACTTCCACCTTTGTTTTAACTCCGGAATTTGTGGTAAATTATGCAGAATCTGCAATCTAAGAGCCGCTTCCGGTTCCGAGGTTAATATCCTAAGCAAACCCTTCCTTAAGATTAGGGTTGAAAACGAGTTCAACCTATAATTGAAGGATATTCGGAATATATAGGTATATTTCACAAGTAATAAAGTAAGAAAAAATATATATTAAGTGCTTACAATTGTAACGAAAACAAACTAAAAAATGATACATCTTACTAATATTATAAACGCGAAAGTTTGTGTGAATGGATACGAGTATATAGATGGATGGATGTTTGTTATTCTATCACGCAAAAACTATTGAATGGATTTTGATGAAACTTTAAAGTAACATAGCTTAGATCAGAATAACACAAAAACTATAAACTTTATACGGAGAAATAATGGACACAGCTTGTATTTGAAATTAAAGATACTCATACATGAAGTAAAAAAGTATAGGAGATTTTTAAACAATTTCATTACATTAGTAAGTCAAATTAAAAATCATTACGAAGTATTTTAAGACTTACATATGGCGGTTGAAACATAGAATCTGGCCGTCATAATCTTGGCCTTTACAGTTTCACCGAACCATACGTAGCGAGGATAGATTATACCAAAACCGCGGAAGAACTTATGGAGCGGCTGAAGGCGAACTCCTGCCTGACGGATACGAACTCCTGCCTGACGGATTCAGTCTGAAGACACCGCTAGGAGTTCGAGCCTCGCCACATACGGACATCACATTATAATATGCTATGTGATAGCACTCATGCGTTGCCATTCTAGAGTATTAAGATATCATGCCTCTTATCCTTTAATTTCACTAACTAATCGCACCTTACAGCGAAACTATAATTTGCAATACAAGCTGCTTGGTGGCTGAAATAACTGATACTGAGGTACACAGACGACCTTTTACAAAATTAGTCATAAAAAAGTATATTTCAATTTGTTTCATATCAGAATTAAAATGGCGAGTCTCCATGCCCAATAGTTTCACTGTTACATCTATAATAAAACTATGACTGAAACAATTCTACATACAATGCCAGCTGCTTGGCGTTAGCTGAAATAGGCATCCGCAGACGACTTTGCGTTATCTATGGTGTTATAATATCGTTTTAAATTGCTTCACAATATAAAGTTATTTTTAACTCGAATAGCTGACCCGCGCATCTTCATTTGCATCACACTTACTTGACATTATATTTCTCCCAATTTACACAATATCTTTTTATTCTGATC